GAAGGCGATGTCAAGGACCTGAAGGGCCTCACTGTCAACGAGAAGGGAGAGGTCGTTGACTCCGAGGGCAATGTTCTCGGCAGCGTCGAGCTTGCTGAGGGAGCCGCTGAGAAGCTCAAGGACTCCGCCAAGGGCGCCCTAGACATTCGCATCCTGGAAGGCCTCAAGGTCAACAAGAAGGGCAAGGTTCTTGACGCTGAGGGCGAGGAGATTGGTGAGCTCACCGAAGGCGAGGCCAAGGACTGCGCTGGCAAGACCATCAACGACAAGGGCGAGGTCCTTGACAAGGATGGCAAGCCTGTTGGCAAGGTTGAGGTTGTCTCTGGCGAGGCCGCTTTTGAGGCTATGAAGGAGCTGAAGGAGCGTCTCGGAGAGGTCGAGCCCGAAATCAAGGAGGTTGAGGTCACTCCTGATCTTGACATTCTTGAGGGCCTCAAGGTCAACAAGAAGGGTCAGGTCCTCGACGAAGAGGGTGAGCCTATCGGCGAGCTCGCTGAGGGCGATATCAAGGAGTGCGCCGGCAAGAAGATCAACGAGAAGGGTGAGGTAGTTGACAAGGATGGCAACGTCCTCGGAAAGGTCAAGACCATCCCCAAGATGATCGAGCAGCAGGTCGGCGAGGCTGAGGACGCTGCCGAAGACGCTGAAGATGCTGCCGAGGATGCTCAAGATGCTGCTGAAGATGCTGCCGATGCTGCCGAGGGCGCTGACGACAACCTCCCACCTCTGTCCATCCTTGACGGTCTCAAGGTCAACAAGGCTGGCAAGATCATCGACAACAACGGCAACATCGTCGGCGAGCTGACCGAAGGTGACGCTAAGAAGCTCTCCAAATCTGGTGTCACCTGCGATGCCGAGGGTCAGTTCTGGGACAGCAAGGGCAATGTCATTGGCCGTGCTCAGACCGTTCCTCAGGAGGAGGGTGACGATGAGCCTCCTTTCGCTGGTCTTGAGGGTCTTACCGTTGTCAAGGGCGGTTTCGTCGAGGATGAGAATGACAACCGTGTCGGATACGTGGTTGAGGGCGACGCCAAGAAGCTCATCGGCCGTGCTGTCGATGAGGACGGCGATATCCTTGACAAGAAGGGCTCGGTTGTTGGACATGCCGAGCGCTATGAGGAGGAAGATGCGCCCGAGGAGGAGGCTCCTGAGCCTGAGGATCTGTCCTCCCTCAAGGGCAAGACCGTCAACAAGCAGGGCAATGTCATCGGCGACGAAGGTGTCCCGATTGCCCGACTTGTTGAGGGCAACCCCAAGGAGCTCAACGGCCGTCAGATCGATGACAATGGCCAGATCTGGGATGACTCCGGCAATGTTATTGGCCGCGTCGAATTGATTCCCCAGAACGAGCGTGAGACCAAGCCCGAGGGCATTTTCGGAGGCCTCGAGGGTCTCCGTGTGGTTGCTGACGGCAAGGTCGCTGATGAGGATGAGAACATCGTCGGCGAGGTTGTCGAGGGTAACGCCAAGCGCCTTGTTGGACTCCGCGTCGACGAGGACGGTGACATCCTTGATAAGTTTGGCAACGTCAAGGGACATGCCGAACCCATTGAGGAAGAGGAGCCTGAGGAGGAGCAGCCCGAAGACTTGTCGTCTCTTGATGGTCTCACCCTGAACAAGCAGGGTAAGCTGGTCAACCAGGAGGGTATTCCTATCGGACGTTTGGTTGAGGGTAACGTCAAGGAGCTTGCTGGCCGCAAGTCCGATGGCGAGGGCCTAATCCACAACGACACCGGAAAGGTTGTCGGCCGTTGCGAACTGATCCCCGAGAACGAACGTGAGTCTAAGCCTGAAGGCGCATTCGGCGGTCTTGAGGGTCTCCGCGTCATCGCTGACGGCAAGGTTGCCGATGCTGATGACAATGTTGTTGGCACTGTCGTTGAGGGCAACGCAAAGCGTCTTATCGGCATGCACGTCGATGAAGATGGTGATATCCTTGACAAGTTCGGCAATGTCAAGGGCCACGCTGAGCCCCTTGAGGACGAGGAAGAGCAGGAACCTGCCGACCTCTCTATTCTTGACGGCCTTTCCTTGAACAAGCAGGGTTACCTCGTCAACAACGAGGGTATCCCTATTGGTAAGCTTGTCGAAGGCAATCTCAAGGAACTCGCAGGACGCAAGTCCGATGGTGAGGGTCTGATTCACGGTGATACCGGCAAGGTTGTCGGACGCTGCGAGCTGATTCCTGACAACGAGCGTGTCACTCGCCAAGAGGGACCCTTTGCTGGCTTCGAGGGCTTGCGCGTCGTCAAGGACGGATTTGTCGAAGACAATGACGGCAACCGTGTTGGTCAAATCACCGAGGGCGATGCGAAGAAGCTCGTTGGCCACTCTGTTGATGAAGATGGTGACATCATCGACAAGTACGGCAATGTCAAGGGCCATGCCGAACCACTTGAGGAGGAGGAGGCTCAGGAGGTCGACCTGTCTTCTCTCGCCGGATGCACTGTCAACAAGGCCGGAAATGTTGTCGACTCTTCTGGCAACATCCTCGGTCGTGTCTCTGAGGGCGACCCAGCTGCTCTTGTCGGTAAGAAGGTCGATGGTGAGGGCCAGATTTGGGACAACGCTGGAAACGTCGTTGGCAAGGCTGAGATCGTCCACGGTGCCTCCTCTGGCCCCGAGGGTCCCTTCGCTGGTTTCGAAAACAACACCATTGCCAAGGATGGCACCGTGCAGAGCGCGAGCGGCGACATCATTGGCCGTGTCATCGAGGGTGATATCAAGAAGCTTGTTGGTCATCACGTCGATGAGGATGGCGACATCAACGACAAGAACGGCAACGTCATCGGCAAGGCCGAGCGCTGGGAGCCTGAGGAGAAGGAGCGCAAGATCAACCCCATGTCTGGCATGCACGTCAACAAGGAGGGTGAGGTCCGCGACGAGAACGGCGATATCATCGGCCGTCTTACTGCTGGTGATCTTGGTCACTGTGCTGGTCTCGAGATTGATGACAACGGCTATGTCGTTGACAACGATGGCAACAAGGTCGGAGAAGTCACTCTTCTTGGTAACATCCAGGAAGAGGACATCCCCGAGGATGAGTCTGATGAGGAGAGGCAGCGCCGCGAGGACTCTGAGCTCGCCAACAAGATGGCTGCCATTTGCCAGCAGACTCTGGAGCGTGTCCAGCCTGTCATGAAGCAGATCACCGAGGCAAGTCACCTTCACGTCATACCTATAGGTTGTATACTAACAGGTCATTAGTACATCGAGAAGGCCGATCGCACACCTCGCGACGAGCTCGACGAGGAGGAGCTTGTTAACAACGTCAAGCCTCTCATCGAAGAGGGTGGCCGCATCCTGAACGAGTGCAACGGCTCGCTCCGTGGTCTCGATCCCGATGGCCGTATCGCTGCTCAGGCTAAGGGCCGCCAGCAGACTGGCGAGGCCACTCCTGAGGAGTACAAGCTTGCCGACTGCCTGAAGGAGCTCACTACTTCTGTCGTCACTACCATCGACAACGCGAAGAAGAAGATCTCCGACATGCCCCACGCCAAGAAGAAGCTCAACCCTCTCTGGAGCCTCCTCACTCAGCCGCTGTTCCAGATCATTGCTGCCGTCGGTCTGCTGTTGACTGGTGTTCTCAACCTGGTTGGCCAGCTGCTGAACGGTCTTGGTCTGGGTGGTCTCGTCAACGGCCTCCTGGGTGGTCTGGGTATCAACAAGCTCCTCAGCGGTCTCGGCCTGGGTGGTCTCCTCGGCAACGACAAGAAGAAGAAGGGCAGCAGCGGCGGCGGTGGTGTCAAGAACATCCCTCTCGTTGGTGGTCTGCTTGGCGGAAACAAATAAGCGCCTCGCCCTGATAGACTGCGAGCGGAGTGGGATGAAAAGTCGATGAAGTTTTCTGTCGCCAAAAAATGATACCACACACCATCCGACACGAAGGGGACGGGAACCTCTCGGTTCTGGCTGGAAGATCGGGGGGTTTGAAGGTCAGCGCTGGAGGTTACCTAACCTGAGGTCGATGGTACGAGTGAATGATTTGCAGCGTTCTCGTTCCAAAGTCCTGGGCTTAGACCCATGCCGGCTCTCCAGCAAGATTTTCCTTTGTTACACGAATGTCTGTTTAGCGTTGCTATTTTACACAGCTGTTGTATGATTAGTTCGAAGTAATGAGATCTCTACCTTCAATGTTTGCCTGCTCTTCTATGTATGTATATGTGTACTGTGATTTTGCGGATTCTCTGACGCAGCCCCTGCATACCTACTCACCGCATCGGCACGGAAGGGAAAGCCGTGCAGATGCAGACGTTTATTGGAAATGCAAGTGCGGGTGAGGGAACCGGATCCTGTAACTTGACAGAGTGTAATAAGAAAGTCATGTTCGGCTCAGAATCGCGGTTTCTTTTCGGGCTGTTGTCTGCACTATGATGATTGATTGTGACCTTGTTCCAGGGTTCTTACACACACGCTGCCAACTCTGGTCTGTTCCACAACAGTCACATTCGCGAGGTTATGTTCTCTAGCACTTTTGGAAGTACGCTCTTATACGCTTCGACATGGTGAGTTTGGTCTCTGCGTATTGAGGTGCTACCTTCGGGTATCCAACCGATTCTCAGTCACGTGCTCACCCTAAGTTGGTGATAGAACTATAACTTAACAACCACAAGGTCCAATTTTATAATTTCTTGATGCTGTGAATCGTCGTGCTTAACTTGTTCATCTGTGCCATTATTGTGGCGTATCGTTGTCAATTATCGTCGGATTGGATCAACATCTCCAAGACGTGACCTAACTAGTGCCTAACACTTCTTCAAATCGCACTCAAAAACTTGCCCAAGAATGAGGCAACAGTGGTGACGATTTGTGGGGCCTATAGGAGCAGTTCGAACCATCTGAACGCAGTCATACACACCGGATAGTGGAGCCAGACTCAGAGTACTCCCACCATATGAAGCAATACGTACTCAAGCACCCCACGGTCATACGGGTGTTGATGTTTGCGTACACATGGCACGCTAAATCCACGCAAAAAGAAGCACACATCAGCAAAAACGTGGAGAAGCAGGTGATCGAAACCTGGGCCTCCCGCAATTTGATCAAAGACACAGAGTCTTGATGCAAAGCGGGCGCTCTACCACTGAGCCACATCCCCATGAAAACGATTTAAACGATTTGATAAATCTTATTAGTTAAGTTGACTTATTATACAGCTTCGATTGATGCGAGGCAAGCCAGGGGTTGACCTTTGATGCATGGTGGAACCTTATGTGGGTACTGAGATTTGCCGAGGTCCCGCAGCTGATCTGGAACATCAAGATTGCTACAGATTTTAAGAGGCTCAAATCTTCTTGTCTGAGCAAAGGTGGTGTTGATATATCGGCGGTCCGCGAAAGTTATGGGACCCCCCCCCCCTTGCCTAACCTTTACGACTCATAGAGATGAAATAGAATATCCAGTAGTATCAGCAGCGCAATGTGGGTATAAACTTACTCGGCCTGGCAAGATGAGGAAGACAGTGAGGGCCTGCAATGATTGGAGCAATGGAAGAATATCAAAATCATAGCAATATGTTCTGATCACCAGAGTTGCAACCACATCATGCCATGCTTTCAAACCACTCAGAGCGTATCCACTGATCCAAGGCAAGCCTCATTCACATGTTATCTTCGATATCCACACGTGGGTCCTGAACACAGCCACGACCGACTTAGCGCGTCACGGACGAACCACACGTCAGCTCCTCCGGAACACCATTGCGCCCAGGTCTGTAACAATACAACACATCACCCAAACAAACACGACCAGCTGTGCACTTCGACCATAACACCACTTTGCGCCTCCTATCCCCTCCCTTGCACGATCGTTCGCCCCTCCCACAGGCCACATTGCCTGCGCGCTCGCAGCAACCCTGAGCTCCTAAGCTTCCACCAGCTCCATACACGTTCACATCACAGCCGGCACGATGGGATCGCTAGCCACATACTTCATGGACGTGGTTTACTCATTCACAAATTGCATGGTGTGCTTTCCGAGCTCTCCACAGCTCAAGATCAACAGCCGTAGTTTCAAGATCCTGCGGTTGCTGGGCGAGGTAAGCAAACATGCATGTGTATCAGGTAGCAGCAATTGACTGATCGCGCGCAGGGCGGCTTCTCATACGTATATCTTGTACAAGACAACACGAATCAACAGCTTCTCGCGCTCAAGAAGATACGATGTCCCTTCGGTCAGGAGAGCGTTAGCCTGGCGCTGAAAGAGGTGGAAGCGTACACGTTGTTCTCGCCGCACCCCAACATCATTCACTCAATTGACTACTCAGTCGAGACGGACAAATCGGACCCTTCGGCCAAGACAGTCTACATTCTTCTCCCATACTACCGCCGCGGCAACCTGCAAGACATGATCAACGCAAACCTGGTCAATCACACAAAGTTCCCGGAGAAGAGACTGATGGTGCTGTTTCTGGGCGTATGCAAGGCGCTCAAGGCGATGCACCAGTACAAGGTCAAGGGCGGGCCCGGCGGCGCGAAGAGCGACAGCAAGGCAAAGAAGGTGCGGAGAGAGGCGGCGCGAGCGGACGCAGAGGCAGCGCACACTATGGAGATGCGGCCGAATCGGCGCCACCACGAGAACGACGACGAAGACGACGAGCAAGCGGAGGGTCTGCTGGAGGAGAGCAATGTCACCAGTGCGCACGAGGGCATTGCGCCTGGCGGCGAGCGCGCATACGCCCATCGCGACATCAAGCCTGGTATTTGACACCCAACTCACTCGGTTTACATTCAGCTCGCTAACATGTATAACAGGAAACATCATGATCGACGACGACGGCACCTCCCCAATCCTCATGGACCTAGGCTCCCTCGCCCCCTCACCCACACCCGTAACCTCGCGCTCGCTCGCCCTACAAATTCAAGACACCGCCGCAGAGCACAGCACGATGCCGTACCGGGCACCAGAACTCTTCGATGTGAAAACCGGCACCGTCATCGACACAAAAGTCGACATCTGGTCGCTGGGCTGCACCCTGTACGCGTGTCTGGTCGGCAAGAGCCCGTTCGAGTTCCGCTCCGACGAGACAGGTGGCTCCCTCAGCATCTGCGTGCTGGGTGGGGACTGGCGCTTTCCCGACGAGGGGCAACAGCACGGCACGCAAAAGCAGAAGAAGGCCGCCGCGGAGGGCGAGGCCATCAGCGCTCCGGTCAAGGATGTCGTCAGGAGGTGTTTGGCGCTCGAGCCGGCAGAGCGGCCGGATGTGGATGAGTTGATTGATATCGTGGAGGGCGTGTTGAGCGAGTTGCCGGAGGATGGGTCGGATTGAGTACGAAGGAGTATAGGATAAAGGATTGGGCTGCTGTATCATCATGTGTCTGAGCTGTCGGCGTTCGAATAGCTTACATACCCCCATTTGAAGACATGTCGGTATCTCGCTCGTTCTGAAGGGGAGAAGGCGTATCGTTTTCCAGCACAGGCTTGGGAGGTTGAGCACGAGCTCGGGTTTAGGCTCAAAGTGTATCATCGGAAAATCTCACTGTGAATGTTGCGATCACTGTTTGGGGCACCAATTCCACGTTGCTGGTTCCTTTAGCTCGAAAGCAGGTACAATGCAATTCCAGTCTCTTCAAGGTACTCAGCAGATGGAACAGGGAGGTCTTGAGTCACCAGACCTTCTGGCGGCGGGCTGGCACACACATAGGGTAGACCTTGCTCTGTCTGACTACGTCGTCATGTACAATGGCTAAGTCATTACTGCTGGTATCAGGTAGACTTGAGAGCAATTCAGTTGACTCCGACAACTTTAATCAAAACTCAGGAAGTCTACATTCACCTGCTCCAAGCAAATATTTGTCGTAACAAAGCAATCGTCTGGCAAAACTAAGAGAGTGAAACAGGAAACTGAATTTGCAAGCCATCTTTGAGGCCTTTTGATGTCTCTCAACGACTTCAATCGGATTTTGGTTACTTCAGCCTCCCATCATCATGCCAAGTGGCTGCTCGTAGCTGGTCAGGTACAGCGTAATAGCATACCCAATATTGGCAGCGCTAGCGAACTTCCAATCCGACCTCGTATCAGCGCGAAGCCCAACAATTCCAGCCTAGTCTCTACCAGACACCCAGGTCAGGCACACGTCCACGTCCACGCCAAGCGTGGTTGCACCACTATGTATCACTCCAACCCCAGAGACCCTTGGGCTTTCACAAGGCTGTTTTTCCTCGAGCCGAGATCGAAGTTATGTACGGTGTTACCTACCCTGGCCTTTACAACGTCGAAAGATGCTTGCGGCGAGCGGATGTGACTACTGACATCCACGCCCTGGACTAGAGACACCCACTCAGAGGCAGGCTCTGTAAGATTCCATGCTATGCTAACATGGAAGTTCTCTGAGCGATCAGCGCTATCAGGCACGCTCTGAGGTCGTGCTGTGGGCGAGCTGGCCTCCATTGGCCCATCTCCCTTACCACCAGAATACAGCGCTGGATGCCTGCACTTCTGCGCTGCTTCATTGCAAGCGCAAAGAAGTCGGTTCAGCTCATCGTGGGCTGGCCTTTTGATGCCGAGCACCAAGAACCATCGGTTTCTTTGGAAGTTCGGCACCCACTTCAGACTATGGAACTCGAAGTTGAAGGCTTGAACTGCGGCTCTCCGCAACGAGCCCCTCAGTGTTCCAAGAAACGATTCACGGTCATCAGTCTTAATCTGCAGAGTCCGCGAGAGCGAGACATGTAATGGTAAGGGTGCACCAAGCTCAGATTGCAGGGAAGGTATGATATCAGGAACAGAAAGTGGCTTTGTGCGCTTCTCGTTCTCTTCCCTGATGGTGGCTTTAATGGCTTGTATCAGGGTGTGCAGACTCTCCGACTCAGCCTGTGAAGGGACCCCTGGAAACGTTAGCGAAGCAGGTGCATGCATGCCAGGAACGGCGCGGGACCATTCTTACACTCTAAATAGACGTGACTCGGCCAATTACCGTCCACATGAGGAACCGCCCGCTTACGACCGCCGTGCAGGCTGGGGTCGTCGCTTGTGCCAACGCGCGCGTTGGTGGAATACAAGTCGTGGAACGCCGCCGGTAGCGGCGGGAGGTCGTCACAGGCAGGCTGGGTGCGCTTACGCTTCAGTGGCGGCCTGGGCTTCTGGGCAGGCACAGACGGGTTCTGGTCGCCGGCGGAATCAGAGTCAGAGTCAGGATACTGGACCAGAGACATGGCGTGGCCGGGGTGGATGTTGGGCCTTTGCTGATCTTTGACAGCTGATTGACAGGTGCTGCCCAGGTGCCCAGTGGGTGTCGTCAGGGTGCGGCTCAGAGGCTCGATCGCCCAAGCGCGCCCCACTCTTCCATGCACATCCGGCAGTGACGTAGCACTTTCTAGGAAAGTGCGCTGCAGAGTAACGATGAAAGCGATCATGTTACGCGTCGTTCTCTTGTCGTTCTCTTGTTGTTCGTACCTGCCAAGCTTAGTACCAGGCTTTATCATAACCTTTCCTTTGCCCTTGCCGGCACCTGCTGTTTCCTCTCTCCATTCCACAGCCTTGCTCACATCACAATCCAAGTAATCCCTAATATTCACCAATAGGCGCTTGTACACCACGATTACACCCCACCATGCAGGCGGTATGTTTCTCTCCTACATGCAGGTTCCTGTTGCGTGGCACGTCACGACTGCTCTGCTCTCGTCGTATACGAGCCATGGGACAGAAGAATGCGAGATGAAGAACGAGTAAGAAGTATCTGCTGATGGTTTTCAGGCACACCACGCGCTCATCGATCCTCTGATCGAGCCAGACCCGAGCGATGAGACAGGACTGAACTCGCACTTCCGCTCGACTTTTGCACCTAGACAGAATGGCCCCATCACTCCACCCGGATCCGCCGGTCTACCAAAGGACGGCTCGCCAGTAAAGGTGCGGGAACACGGCACCAGCAACTCGGTTGGAAGCAACCCTTTCATTCCCTCCCAGCACTCGGGCAGCTCAGTTGGAACCAACCCTTTCCTGCCCTCTCAGCATACCGGCAGCTCTGTGCAGACCAACCCATACCGCCGATCGAGGGCGTCGTCTGAGGCCAAGGCTCCTTCTGCCACTGTTTCTCAAATTGGCCAGACTACTCCAACATCACGCAGGTATGAGTACCCGTCCCCTCCCCAGTCTGC